GTCTCACTTAGCTTAAGTGCCTAAAACACTGGCTCATTACAAGCACCAACGTAACGGTTTAAAAGCAAGCACTTAAACGACAATATTTCCAAATACGGATTGTCGCGCATTCTTCTTAAACGACAATATTTCCAATTATGGATTGTTGTGCATCTTCTTCAACGACAATTTTTCGATGATTGGATTGTCATCTTTGGCAAAGTTTCCAAGCGTGGATTGTCGTGCTCCTTCTTTGTTTGGAAAGTTTTTCCAAGTTTGGATTGTCATACATTCATTGATCTTTGGCAAGTTTTTCGAGATTGGATTGTCATACACCCAGTTCCCTATGGCAAAATTTCCCAAAGGATTGTTGTAGGTCTCTATTCATCATAAATATCGTCAAAGGTTCCTCAACGTGGATTGTCATTCATTTCAGTAAGTGGCAAATTTTCCCGAAGTGGATTGTCGGTCGACTCTTTTTTTGCAAATGTTCCAAGACGCGGATTGTCAATTGTGGCAATATTTTCCTAAAAGGATTGTCGCATAGCATTGACAAATTTCCAAGGTGGATTGCTTTCAAGAGTTATATTCCAAGATGTGGATTGTCGATCGTAGCAAAATTCTTATGACAGATTGTTACGAAGCATTAGCAACTTTTCCCAAAAAATGGATTTTGGCAAATTTTCCGAGATACGGATTGTCGCTTCATCGTGGAAACATTTCCAAGGATAGATTGTTACGAAGCATTGACAACTTTCCCTAAATCGGATTGTCATAAATCACAAGAGTTGTGTTGGCAACTATTCCCAAAGAAAAGAGGATTGTCATCACAGCAAAAGCACCAACATATTGGTTCACAAGCAGAAAAGCGCCGACATACTGGCATAGCACCATTAAGAATCAACAAGCAGTGATCTTTTCGAAGACTATCACGGCGGAAATTGGAGGCAGTTACAGGCGTAGCAGTCTTCAGGCGGTATTCTCTAGCTTGCGGAAGATCGTCACAACAAATCGGTTACCTCTAGAGACGTGTGCTCGACGGTGCAAGATACGCGTTTCTTAACTCTTTTATCTGTTTAACTAACGCTAGTTTTGCAGGCATCAGCGTTACAAGAATGATTTAGGATCGCAGAACGTTCTGAATCATTCTCCGTCCCTATCGATACTTTGACTTTTGTTTTCGAAACTTGCGTTTCTCCAAACTCAGTCAAAGTGGGGGCTTCTGTAGACACCCATTTGTGTCTCCCCAAAACCAAACCCAGTGATGAGTACCTTTCACGTCAAATGAAGTGAAAGTGTGGAAAGTTTAGTGTTGCGGAAAGTTTTAATTTCTTTTCTCTTCTCTCTATTTTTGAAAACGTATTTTAAGAAAACAGTCAATCCAGTTTGTTTGACCCATGATATGGGTCCAAAAGTAGTGTAGTTGGATAGGGCTTGAAAAGAGCTTTCCAACAATATATTATAAGCCCAATTTCGATGAATATTGAGGAAGTTATGGCCAAATTACTGAACTGTGCCTGGTTTGAGCCTTATATGCGGCCCAATGATCTAGAGGAGGGCCTAATATGGATTTATCATTCATAATGCAATTAGGAATGGTTTTAGTCTTCTAGATTTTCTAAAAGGTTCTTTTCATTCCTAATTGAATTAGCATTGATAAATTGACTTTTGTTGACTTTTTAGAGTTTTGATCAGAATCAAAGAACGTTTTTGAGGAAAATACGATTGTATCCTCCTGTATGGCAATTTCTATCGGATTTTAAGAAAACGCGTGAATTTCTGAGTCAGCGCCAAACGCCAGCTGTAGCGCCTGATGCTACGCTTGGCGCTTGGCGCCTAGCGCTAGCCTTAGCGTCTGGCGCTAAGGTCAGCGTTTTGGATCTGGCTTTCTGCGTCAAAACTCTGTTTTTGATGTTTTATCTTTTTGGTTGATTTTCTCTATAAATAGTTTCCTAAAAACCCCGTTTTGATTCACCAACTCTCATCAAGATTTTCTTGATTTCTCTCTCTCCTTCTCTCTCTCTTTTCTAAACTAGCCTTTTTTTCAAATACAAAATTTCGCATTCGCAAGACTTAGATACACCTAGCATTGTTCGAAGTTGCCTTCGCCCTAGACGTGAAAGGTTTTAATTTCTAAGGGTTTGGTCCCAAATCTCTCTTTCAATTATTTAATTTAATTGTTTTGTTTATTATTTTCCTTGAAGTTACTAACGTGTGTATTTTGTTATAAGAAAGAGATACGAGGCATCCAAGTAAGTACTTTAATTGTTTTATTGATTTTATGATATAGAAATCATGCTTAGGTTGTTATTATAAATTCCTAGTATCATGTCTAGGGTAACTTTAATATTAAGTATGATTAAAAGTATGATGCTTCCTATGTTCTTCCTAATATTTATGATTGTTAGTATCATGTTAGGGCTAAAGCTTTGATTTTTAATGTTTAGTGACATGCTAGGGTTTGTTATTAATCTTGTTAGTATCATGCCTAGAAACTTGCTATTATTGTGCTTTAATATGATCATGATTATTTCAATTATTATTTGATTTTGATTTTGATTTTGATTTTGATTTTGATTTTGATTTTGATTTTGATTATTATTATTATTATTATTATTATTATTATTATTATTATTATTATTATTATTATTATTATTATGTTGCTTGATATATTTATTGTCATTGCTTGATCACACCTTATATGCATGTTTAAAGGGAATTGGTACTTGTAATCATGCTTAATAAGATAATTAATAATCTTGTTAGGGTTAATTTGATTAAAATTCAAGTGATCGTCAATAATAGATTTATTTGTGCATTAAATTCAACCAACATAGTTAAACAGGTTTAGGGTAAACCTATTGATTGCATGTTAGTCAGAAAGCGCACATGAATACGCTCAGAATAAAGTAGAGGCTTATTATTAGGGCAGGTTCAATCTCTTTTAGGTTGGATTTGTACCTTCATCCCTGAACCCTATTTGGTTCAAGACCTTATGGAGTTGACGATTTCTTGGATCGTTAAGGGGTGTAACATTCACCTCGTGAACGGTTTACAAGTTCCTAAAAAACTTGTTGGCGACTCTTTTGCTCTATCTTCTTTCCCTTTGGACGCCACCGTACTTTAGTGTATGATCACAGTGGGGTTCAAGCTGGGGATTAACGCTTGAAATATTCCCTACAGTTTTTGGCGACTCCACTGGGGAGGATTTCTATTTTAATTCCTAAAATTTACTTTACCTAATTTAAGTCCTGTGCCCTGCACAGTAATAAACTAGTTTAAGTACCGTGCAATGCACGGTTTTTTACTTTACCTAATTTTTAATTACAATATTAATTTAACAAAAACTTGAAATAGATACTTGAATTTCTTTAATAATAATAATAATAATAATAATAATAATAATAATAATAATAATAATAATAATAATAATAATAAAAAATAAAATAAAATAAAAGCAAAACAAAACTTGAGTTTAATATTATATCGATGTCAAAAGTTATTGATCATTAAACATTTTTTAAAAAAAAAAACACAAATTTAATAATTATAGGATTTTACATAAGAATTAAATTTTATGTTAATTATAACCCGTAGAATGTACTTTTTTTTAGAGGAACACGTATAATGTACATACCTCAACGTCCCAATTTTGTTGGCATGTTTTGACCGGCACAATGTTTTATAGCTTACTTTGACCGATATAATGTTTTATACAAATTTAATTGACTTTTTTTTATAATTAATAATCAAGGTTTTTTATTTTTTGTTTTTTATTTTTATTTATTGAATTGTAGTGTTATTATTATAAATAAATCAACAAATATATACTTCGTAATAAAAGTTAAAGAGTCCAACCAGGTTGGAGGAAAAAAAAATGTGATACAAAATGATATGGAGTAGTACATTATTATTGTAATATATTATATGTTTGTTTATTTTAGAAAAAAAATACTTATTATAAAATAATGAAAGATAGGTTAGAATATTATTAATTTGTTATCATTGAATACATATAGAATATACTTTGTATATAATATAGTTGCCAAATTGAAGGATAAATATTCTATTCTAATATATATAAATTAATATTCACGAAGATTTGTAAAAAGAAAGGAAAGTTAAAAATGGCGGAAAATTTTTTAATCAGAACATGACAAGTGTCATGTTAGATTCACCTTTAGTATTATGTTATTGATAAAAGAAGACTCAAATTAAAGTTTAGATTATACAATAATAACTCATAGTTTGGATTAATATGAGAAGACCTCTCATAGTTTGGCTTATTTATGTGAATTTTTCCTTTACAATATTGATGGTAGTACACTAGTACACCTGTTTGACTTAAAGGTTAAGTTAAGTTATGAGACATTTATATTATTATATATATTACCATCTTACCATAGGAATATATTCATCAACATTTATACGAAGTATATAAATACATACTACGAAGTACTGTGATAAATTTTGTCTAAAAAATGTCTTAAATTTTTTTTACTTATTATTGAATATAAAGTGGAATTAATTTATTTTAAATAAATTTAAAACATATATCATTTTTTTTTAAAAAAAAATTATCATTAACTTTTTTACTTAATATATTTAAAACATAACTTTTAATTTAATATTCGGACGCAATACATTGGTGGGCTTTATTACTCTTTTATTTTCCTTTCCTTTTCTGAACAAAAAATATTAGTTTTTTTTTTTTTTGAACAAAAAAATACTAGGGTTAAGAAAGAGTAATTATTTTTAAAAAAAATCTAATCGTACTTATTCTCCTTGGAGACCAAGCAAAAGAAAAAGTAATTAGTATCTTATATATATAAAAAAAAATAATAAAAAATAAATAAATAAATAAATAAATAAATAAATAAAATTCAGAAAGAAAACCTATACTCGTACTAAAAGTCTAAAACTCCTTGGAGACCAAGGAAAAGAAACCTCAACCCTCCCAAAATCTATAAAAACTCAACCTCAACACTCCTCACATTCACCATTCTTTACATTCGTTTAGAATGACAAAATCCAAAAAACCCACCAAAACCCTAATCAAATCCCTCCCTAAAAACTCTGCCCAAAACCCTAACTCTCTTCCTGTTGAAGTTGAGCCTATTATCCTCACCTCTCTTCCTGTCAAATCCCTTTTACAATTCAGATCTGTCTCCAAAACATGGCTTTCCGTCATTGATAACCCTTTCTTTGCTTATTCCCACCTATCCCGTGCCGAAACCCGGCTCGGGGTTGGAGGGAGCAGTAGTTCTCGTATCCTTATCACTTTCTCCAACTCTGATGGATCTAGGCATTACCTTTACTCGGTCGGCCTCTTCGGAGGCCGTGCTGTCCATCATCTTACCTTACCCAGAATCGGAATCGGAATTGGAACCGGAACCGAAGGTCCTATGTCAAAGTGTAACTTTCTTAGCCCTGTAAAGGGTTTAGTGTGTTTCTTTAATGGCAAGAATGTATTTGTTTGTAACCCTAGTACAAGAAAAGTCAGAAGTATCCCTCCTTGCCCTAATAATTACAAAAATACCACTCTAAATTCTTATTTTCATAAGCCCTTTTGTTCTTACTCTTTTGGGTTTGATTCTTCTTCTAACGTTTTCAAGATCTTGAATATTTTCGGCACTATCAGTAAAGATGATAACAAGTTGTACAATGTTGAGTCTAGGGTTCTAATTATTAAAACCCCGGATGAGTTTTCATTCGACTCGTGTTCTTGGAGAAAGATATCATCATCTTTTCCTTACTCTTACCCTTTCCGAACACAAGGTGTATTTCTTAATGGCTCTATTTATTGGATTGGAAAGAGGGCGCCGGGTGAGGAAAACATCGTGTGTTTCGATGTTGAACACGAGCAGTTTAGACTTATTCCCTCGCCTCCTTATGGGGTGCCATCAAAATCTAAGCTTGCTAATGTAGGGGAGAGCTTAGGGATCATAAGCTTCAAAGATTATGGAGATTGTTCCTTGGAATTATGGGTGTATTTTAACTCTAAATGGGTTAAAAAAGATGCAGGAACAAACATTGTTGCCCTAAAAAGAAAAGGAATTGATGCAAATTTCGCGTCTATTGTAGGTAATGGAGGCATGCTATTGACTCCTGATGTTTTGTTACTTAATTTTGTTCTCCGTTCATTGAATGATGGAAAGGTTAAAGGGATCAGAATTTCGGGTTTGCCCGGTTGGGTCAATATTTTGGACTACAAGAAGGTTAATTTTAGTGTATTTAACTATGTTGAAAGCCTTATTCCATTAGACTTCACGGTTCGATTTGGAGACTTTGTGGCTGACTTAGCCGGTGTTCGGGGTCCAAAACAGGCTTTGCCGCCTATGAAGCTGGTGCCTCATGAAGAGGATGAGGTGATGAAGGAGTGGGAAGGTGGACTTTTGGTGTTTGGTGGTTTTGAGGGTTTTGAAATAATTGAGGATAAATCAGGTTCAGGCAAGAGATATATGAAATTGTGGTTAAGAAAATTACCCGGAAAAGAGGGCCTAATTAAGAGGAAATAATTTATAGTTTCTCTAAATTTACAAGGCTTTTGGAATATTTTTTTTTTTTTTTCTTTTGCAGAATTTGTGTTTCTTAGATGTAAACATTTTTCTTATTCTAATGAAATTAATTCTATAAATTATTTACATTTATATGCAAGGTATATTTTTGCAATAGTAATTTGTTTCTGATTTCATAGATCAATTATGTTGTTTTTCTTAAAGCATACAAAAGCAATCAATGTACGAAGTATAAAATAAGATTAACATCAATTATTAGAGAAAGCCTCACGCCTTCATTTTTATTTTTATTTTTATTGTACCAGGAGTTAGGGCATTAATTTACTTTTAAAAAAAAGTTGGGGCATTAATTAAAGAAATTGAATTAAATTTAGCTTTTAATGTCAATAATTCTAACCAAAATAAGATTATTGACAAAAGTTTTAAGAGTATTAAAGAAAAGCTAATTCTGAGTATTCATTTATACTATCTTGTTAATCACTGTATTTACATGAGTTGATCATATCTTGAGCACTGTGTTCAAATACAACATGCAATCTGCCACAAACTTGAAACAGAAAATAGGCGTTACAATCGTGTGAATAATCACAATTGTTTTAGGAGAGCAAATATGTTGTGACTTGTGAGTTGTGACACCCTTGTTACTTTCATCCTCTAAACAAATACACTAAATGAAGGGCTCAATTCTGCTCTTCAGACAAGGATTCCCCTTCCCCTGAAATTTCAAGAGTTAAAGTTTATGCTTAGACTAGTTGTAAGTCTTTTACGATAGAAACATGATCATCAAGGCATTAGGAGATTAGTTGTAAGTCTTTTACGATAGAAACATGATCATCAAGGCATTAGGAGATAGCCAACAATTGTTCACTAAAAAAGGATACTCCATACTTTACAAACAGTTAGGTATGTGATATTAGTTGTCTGCCCTTAAACTTTCACTTAATTTTTGCTCTAAACATTCACTATATATAGCTACAAGAGAAGAAATGAGAAGCTAAACTCTTTGGTGGTATGGATTATTAGTTTTCTGATTTATTATATTTGTTTAAGTTGCTTGCTTGATGTTTTTGACCTCCGAATTTTCATTATAAACTTGCTAGATAGCTGAAGTGGCCGAAGCCATCAAAGAGGCAGAGCCACAACTACTCACAAGTCACGACCGTCAAACTAACTTGTACCAATTCGATCTTGATCTACCCCTAATAGAGCTCTCCTCAATCAATGTACTTGCATAAACGATACTATCATATCTTAAAGATAGTTTCAAGGCGTCTTATGATCAAATCTTGTCAAAATACATATAGTTCCAAACTGAAAGTGTAGTAGCCAAGACTTCAAATTCAGAACATCTACACAACATAAACAGTTCAAATGAAAAGAAATTGATACATTTATCTGTTAAAAATGATGAGGATACAGTTTATCAGTTAAAATTGATGAGAAGTTCTACATGAAACAACAAATGATGTGGGAATTCCACGTAAAGGGAAAGGGAAAGAGAGGAAGAGAAATCACTTCTTCCTTGTTATTCTATTCTAACAATTTTTCGATTCATGTATTTAAACCTACAGATATCCTCAAAGAAATCGTCTGTGCTGCTATGGCTACTCTTCATCTGAAGAATCTTTATTACCATCTTCTTAAGGTTTCGCGCATACTTCACAAATGACTCAAGAGTACTCATTTTCTGTTCAGCATTTAATGGTGATCTTACAGTTAGTACAATCTCTTCCAAACATGGAATTGAAAACTTCGAATCAACCTGCAACCAATAAAAGACAGGCGTCACACCTCAAGTAAGAGCTGTAAGACTACTGCAGAACATCCAAGACTAATTCCAATGTATATACTATAATAAGGTTATGCTATGCTATAGTTCCACTCACATTTTTCAAGCTATTTTTCTGACATAATGCAGCAAACATAGCTCCATGGATATCAAACTTTTGGAGCTTTGGATGAGCATTAAAGAACTCGACAAAATCAATCTCAGGGAAGGGCAGAAGGTTTTCAAAGTCACCAGTAAATTCAACCTTCATGTAAAGATACTTCACTTCAGAAGCCCATTGAAGCATCTTGCTTATGGCATCCCAACACCATTGAACACCCCTCAAAGACAAGGTTTCGAGTGCCACGAGTTTGCTAAAATCAACCAGGTAAACTTTTCCTGCCAATACACATTACAAGATTGAAAACTGTCAGTTCAACAGAAAAATTGGAAACCCTCAAAACAGTCTGATTAGAAAAGTGATCATAGCAGGAATTTACCTCCACTGTTGGAAATCGAAAGATTTCGAAGGCATTGAGTGTCCCGAACCCTCATCCAACCACACCCTTGAATCTCAAGGCTGATTAATTTTGGACAAGAAATGGTGAGGGAATTGTTTCCAGCACCATAGAAGTCCAATTTACACTCCTCTAACTCTTTCATATTAATCGAAACAGATCGAATTCCCTCACAACCAAGGAGCAATAATCGATTCAAATTAGGACACAATTGAAGTGCATCTACCAATGTATGATCCTCCATTCTTGCCCCAACAATTTCAAGATTTCGAAGATAATGGAAAGTCTCCCATTTAGGTGATTGGGTCATCATCACACCCCACAATCTTAAAGACTCTAAATTCTTTGCAATACCTATACAATCTAGTTTACTCATTGAAGCCTCTGGACTAATTTGATGTTCCGAAATGCTATCCATTCGAAGCTCGAGATGTCTAAGGGACTTATTAGCTACATTGAGCCAAGCTGCAAGCCCTGAACTAGAGAAAGGACAGTATACAACAAGCTCCTCTAATTGGACTACCATCATTACAATTTTCAATATGATTTCATCAGGGTTGGTATCGTCACAATCTCTCATCGAGGACGTATCGAAAACGTTTCGAGGAAAGTACAGGCTTCGAATGAATGGCATAGACTCTTTCCATCTCTTTGAGACTGAAATACAAGATGTCACATCTTTGGCATTGTTTAGGTGAGACAATATGTATTGAACAATGGCATCTGGCAATGACTCCATTTATTTTGTTCTCTGGGAACATTTAACAAACAATTAGTGAGCAAATTGAATTAAATCACCACAAATTAAACTTCTTAAAGATCCTACATTTACCGATTAATCAAGAAAGATACAACAACAAAATCAGATGGGCAAATTTGAAATCTTGTAAACAACAATAAAACCCAAAACCCAGAAATTTCTGAGCAAATTAAGATAATTTACAGTGAAATCTAACATTGTAGAGCTCAATTACATCAAATCGGAACAAAAATTCAATGACCCAGAAAAATTCTATTAAATATACTACATCTGACAGCTCAATTACTTAAAATCGATAAGTAAAAACCCAATTCAATTACAAACAGATTACTCAATTAAAGTTCAACCACCCAATTCAGTTAGCTCAACACAAAGAAATCAAACAAAACCCAGAAAAATTCAAAAACTATAGACTAAAATGAATGAAACCCAGAAAAATTAGAGGGAAAAGGAGCTTACATTTGAAAGAATTAAGATCTGGGTTGCTCCCAAAAATGAGTGAGAAGAGAGAGAAAGAGAAGGGTTTGTTAGGAGAGAGAAAAAATGGGGAAAAATGGGAAGAGGTTTAAGGAGGAAGGAGCGCGGGTATAAGTGAAAGAGAAGAGGGAGACTGGAATTTTTTCAAATTTCAAACGTTTTTATTTTTTATTATTATTTATTTATTTTAATTAATTTTTTTTGAAACAATTTATTTTAATTAATTTGATTTATTTTAATTTGTGGGTTATTTTTTAACAGTATTATAGTGTACTACTGACACAGTCTTGAAGTGTGAGTTTTAGAAATTTTTAAAAATTGAAAATAACCAAGAAAAGAAAAAACGGAAATAGTTGAGGGTATAAAACCAACGAGAGCGGTAATGTGCAATATTTAAAAAGTTTTGGGTTTGAATTTTTTTGAAATTTTGATCCGTTGTGAAAAAGATTTGACATTTCTGAAATGAAATTAAAGAGGTTGGACTGTTGAAGTTGGGTTGAGCTTGGTTGGGTTGGGTTGGGTTGGGTTGGGTTTGGCCCAATAATATTTTGAACACTTATCAACTTTCAAGAAATTTAAGTTAGGGAGCCAACTAGCTGAGGCAAACAAAACATTAGCGGATTAGCCTGTTCATGTGACTTTAGTTTCAGCACCAATACTAGTTTATGGCTCAAATGATGACTGAGTTAAAGGGTAGATTTATTTAAGTTGAGTTTAATATGAAGCATACATAAACATGATTAATATTTTTTTTTCTTTTTTTGTGTGTTTCATCTGGTTCACCCTTTGAGTAAAATATTCAACTTAATTATAGTTGGTAATGTGCTGCAATGTTGTCACGTTGCACCTAACACAAATACTTTTGGGTTGTTTGATACACGGGATGTTACTTATAGGTTATTTTTCTTGAGAAATGTTAATTATCTCTATTGTAAATTGGTATTGCCATGTACTCTGTTATAGTTAGATTTAGGGCATGTTCTGATTTACTGAACTGAACTGATTAGAGCTGAACAGAATAGAGCTAAAATGAATTGTTTATTTGTAACACCCCAATAATTCTCCCTTTTTAAACCACTTACTTTAAATAAAAATAGAGGAGAACCATTGGCATGTTATCGCCATGTGTTAAAACGTTAAGGCTTTATCAAAGTATTGCAGCGGAAATCCAACTTAAATCTTAAAATAATATAATTTAGAAAACCAATAAGTCAAAGCTTACAAATTGGAACCATAAAGACCCTTATTTAAAAACCAATAATCAAAATCCCAAAACATAATTAGAATAGTAAAACATAAATAAGTTTAACACAAAGAACGAATACTCTCAATCACACCAATCCCTTGACAATGCGTATGTCAAATCCCCGAACTTCACATCATCAAGATAACCTGTGCAATACTGCTCCCCAATAATACAAGTGTAATAATTGGATCATCACAGGGTCATTGAAGGGCGAAGGCCATGACCAAAAGAAAACACACAAAAGCACGCAATCAGCAAAGCTGAGTACATACAAGCTACAACGCACAAAATCTAGCATGCTCAACTAGTTAAAGTAAATAAATATACAACTCGAATTCATTAATCAAGACTCTACACTTAAACAATTCAAACGACTCAACATACTTGCTAATAAATTCCAAACACTTGATTTTTTATACTTAATTTAATTAATTTAGTTTGGAGTAAGCAATAGACGAGGTTGTCCAATCCACCAAATCATTTTGGTCCCAAATGACCATTTAAAATAAAAGTTTAGCGCGATGCAAGAATGAGCGCGACTCCATTCTCACAAAGTTAGTCTAGGATCCCATCTAACTTTCATTGTAAAATAAAATGTAAATACCAAAAGAAAAGAGGACATGTTGATCAAACAAGCCTCGGAAAGCCACGGGCTACCACCGTGTACCCCGACCCATAATTGTCAATACTCTAGAAGTGCACGCTTTCCAGAGTTTTATTGCTCATCCATGTTTCACTTTACGTGATTACAATTTTAATTAATAGCCGACTCAATCAAATAGACCATACATAAAAATCATACATCAATTTATTTTTAATCTTATTTAGGACAATGGTGATCACATTCCAAATTGACCTTTAATTCCATTAAACTTCCAAATTATTCAAAATTGTTGAACATAGTCAACCCACCTAGCCATTTCGGCTTAATCCACCTTTACTCAACATAATAACAAGTCATGATTGAGTAATAAATAAAATAAATAACAACCTTGTGGAATAATTAATAAATTCATTCCACTTAAACCATTCAATTCCAATCCTTTAATAATCCAAATGTGGTTAACAAACCAATCCAATAAAATATGTTTGTATCGACATTCCATACAAATAATTAATCCAATATAATTCAACATGTTTGCATCCATAATTCCATACAAACATAATCAATTCACCAAAACATATCTCATAAACATAAGCACATGAATTAAATCAATGTGTAACCAAACAATTTCCATCCAAGTGTTCCCTAATCATGAAACTAAGTTCTTTCCTTTTGGTACCTAAACATGATACTACTTATAACGAAGTAGACATGTACGTACCTCGTGTAAACAATTCGGTTGGCCACTTAAAAACTAGAAATCACCTTCAATAAACTCCTCTCCTAAACCAAACAATAACATCTCAATCAATACTCAATCAATCAAATTTACAGCAACACTAACTTACTTTAAAACCTTCAAAATCCAAATCAAACAACACTTTAAAACCCTCCCTTTAGTTAAAATTAAAGGCTTGTATATAGTTCTTTAAATTTTCTTCATAAAAACCTTTAAATACACTCTTATAAATGAAATTACAACAAGTTTAAAGTTTAATAAAAATCTTAAAATTATTTAAAAACCTCTAATAATCTCCCTTTTTAATGGGTGATTAAACCCTCTTTATAAAACATCAAAAGTAGTACTTAGGAACTATTTCCAGCACTTAAAACTTCAATAAAAAAATATATTTATGCTTAATTAAATTTAAACATAATTAATTTTATTAATCAAACTCAAGGATAATATTTTAAGTATAAAAAAACTTCGTTAAAATCAAAAACTGCCCGAAAATCATATTTAGAGGCTGAATTTGGCCACGAGAGGGTGGTACTCACTACTTTTTTCCACATGGAAAACACTACTTTTTTTGTCAAAATTGGATGAGTTCAGAACCTGATCGGGATTAAAACGGGATTGATATTAATGAACGGAAATCTTAAAATAAAAACACGAATTTAAGTGTTCAAAACAATCTGGAATTAAGTTAAACTAATTAGTACTTATAATCACCAAAATTTCAAAACATCATTACTATAAAAGCCCTAAATCAATTGTTCATAAAAACCCTAAAATCATGATTTTCAACAATTAAAAACCCTAGGTTATAAAATTTACAAAATCTGAAAATTATGACACTTATAAAATCTGAAATTATAAAGTTTAATCATCAAAATACAATTTGATACTAATTAAATTAATTTCAAACAATAAAATCAAAACCCATAATCAATAATTATAATTACACAAATTAATAAAACTAAGGAGAAAGAAAATAAGACTAACCTTTTTGTGTGGGAAATTTTTTGGGAATTGTAGGGTAAATAAGAATATTGAGCCTCATAAAAATAATGGGTCGATTACAAATGGGTTAGGCTTGTGTGATTGGACATAAATTGTAGAATAAAGGTGCATAAAATAATTTGTTCAAATAAATTTCGACCCAGATTAATAATTTGAAACTTTTGAAATTAAATTATGAAAAATAACAAATAAATATTATAAATAAAATAAATTTTCATTTATAAAATATTTAAAAAATTATGGGGATTACATTATTAATGAAGGAAATTAGGAACTAAACTAAACTAATTGGATCTGAAATGAATCGAACTAAACTGAAATTAAGTTAAATTGAACATGCCCTTTAAAAAAAAAAAAAAAAGGTAGTACACACACATGAAGTTCTCCATAAAACGCTATATGCAAATAAATATAAATAATTGTCTATTAATAAAAATTGTAACAAAATTATATTATGAAAGTAACAATGTCATGAATCCAATAATATATTATTTAATAACATTTATTAATTTAATGTTATATGTAGCCCTAAGGGTTATATATAAGATCTACTTCGAAAGACATGATTTTTGTGTTTAATTTGGTCTCCGGTTGTGCGGGACTACGATTGATTAGGGCTCGAAAATTCGAGTTACGGAATCAGCACAAGAATTAACTTTCTCACAAAATTGCAAAGCAACGACGAATCCACTCAAAAAGCTGTATGAGACAACTAATTGAGAATGTGCTAAATTGTTATATTAATGTATTTGGATTTTTAGTCTTTCCCCGATTAATTTTTGTTTGATTTTGTTAAATTCGTTTTCATTATCGTTAATTGTCAATTGCAAATGTCGTATGACTTTTCTTAATGAAATTTAATGTCCTTTAGGACTTCTTTAAAATATATATATATATATATATATATATATATATATATATATATATATATATATATATATATATATATATATTTTTAAGATGATGGTAACTTAGTTTTATGCAACCTTGAGACACTAAAAATACACAATCTTTCATTTGAGAAGGAAACTGGGTACAAGGGACTTTAAAGCCTATTTTATCTTAAGAAATTAACTAACCAAGTTTAGTTGATGATGGGTCATTTACTCCAGTTACATACAAATTTAAAGAACTGTACTGTATTTTTGTGTAGTGTATTATTAGGTCATCACTGAAAGTTCAGGGAAGGAGATTATCTTGTATGTTGTATTGTGTACAGTCACAATACAGATTTTCCCCTCGTTGTAGCGAAGCTGATTGTGAGCTAAACAATGATTAATTTCATAGATTTAACCAGGTTCTGGTTTGATCTATCATCACTGCACAAATTATTTTCTGTTTTATTGAATATAGGGGATTAGGGGGGCATTTGAGACTCTTTCGACGAGACGACAAGTCATTAACTCATTACTATGTGACAATGTTGAATTTAGTACCACTTTATTTAACTTCTGGTTGCTCACTTTGTGAGTCTTACCACTGCAAATTTGTGAGAGGGAATACTTGAATAAGACCGATAAGATTTATGTTATTCAAACTCTTCATTTGGCCAGCCTCCTTATTTCCAGTAACAGGACGATCATCCCAGTCATAGTTAGCAGACTCTTGTACTGCCTTTTCAGCAATAGCTTTGCGCTTACTGCAAGCTTCAGCAACAATACTCTCTCCTTCGTCGTACTTACCCTCATAGACAACAGACAACTTAAATGCTACAATTACATTAACAATACCAGGCCAGTCAATGATATGAGTGTATATATATAACATCAGTAGATTCAGATTATGAATCACAAATGAAACAGCAGTTATTAATAAGGTTATGTGACCTCAGTGGCCTCTGTCCACCTCTACTTGAGAGTAACAAAATAGAAATATGCTGAATCTTTGTAGATAACCTTTCTTAATTGATGTTCCTTCTAGCAAAGTCTCAGTTTAAGAGTCTAGTTCTACCATGATTATTCACTGGAAAAAAACATAATCGTAGTCGTAGTGGAGTGACTGTCTTGCTATATTTATCTTGTTGAGCAGTTTCCAGACATTAACTTTTCATAATTTTAAATATGTACGTGGTAGATGTTCAAGATGTACATCTAAAAATGGTGTAAAAGCAAACAGGAATAGCTATATGATATCTAATAATAGAATGATAACTGCACAATATATTGATATAGCCAGGGGCTGATCTTGGTTAGGGCAGGTAAGAGACCGGCCCCCTTAAGCATATTTTAGTTGTTTTGGCCCAAGATCCGCCACTGCGTATATCCGATTCGGCCCAATTGTATGTCCTGTAACAAACCAACAGGAACTCACTGCCACTACTATGTGATTTCGAAATTAGCTTGAACAACATTTCCCAAAGATAAATTAAGCAAACTATTGAGAAATTTGCTTATATGCCTACAAATTAACCTGCAAGAAAAGAAAATCAAACCAGCAATAAGTTTGTTTCACAATAGTTAAGTAACAATAACTAAACACAACAATAAATAGAATAGGGAGGGGATAAACCGGATAATAAGAAGATAAAGTAAAGTGATCTTAATTAAATTGATCAAGAAAAATTACATCCAAAATTGTTTTTCAAAAAAAATTACACCCAAATTTGAAGCTAAAATGCTTAAACAACCAAAAATTTATCCACATAAGTAAAGAAATTTAACACTTTCTCCTTAACAAAACTAGCCATTACAGGATACTCGTTAATTACTTTGACATCATAACCACTCCTTAAGATTTGAGGCAGGAATAGCCACCATGCGGTGACCGCGATGAACCCGAGAGTGAGCGGACCTGATATCAACCGGTGCAACCGAAACCTCTGCACAACCACCTCCTTAACCACAACCTCTAGCGCAGTACACACCCCATGTAAAACAAAGAACCACGTAACCTCCCACGTCGGCATCACACGTGTGAAATAGAAGTAAATCAACTCATGCATTAAACCAGACACAGTAAAAGTCGCCATCATCCCAATCGCTACAGCCCACTTTTTCCCAACCAATGGCAATGCAACACGTCGAATCGGATCGTAAGCCGATAACCGTAGGATATCCGACACCATAAGATTCCATCTACGGCCCCAAAAATCCTGAAGCGAGGTAGCCAAATAAGGCTCGTCAAATTGCGGGTCCAAGCCCAGGCCCGAAACGGCCCGAACCAAAGCCGCGGTAATTCCTAAAGTTACCTCAACACCAAGGTAAAGATGACAGCAGTAATTAACCAATAAAAGAGATTTTGGTAAGTCATTACGAAAGTCGTATATTTTTATCACAACAGCAAATGCAAGCAGTTTGACCCCAAATAAAACAAGAGATTTATTTGGGTTACTTCGATTATGGGTGAATTTGGAGTTGACTTTGATGGGAAAAAGAGCAACGGAAATGAAAAGAGGTAAAGAGGTGTTTGGAAGAGAAGAAAGAGGGCCTAAATGAAAGGAATAAAGGATGAGTTTAAAGTTGGATAACCAAACAAGGTAGAAGAAAGTGGGGCCTCCAAGATGGAAGGAGGAGAGAGAAAATGGGAGAATAGTGAAGAGATAGATGATTGGAAGGATGAAGAATAATCTGAAAATGGGTTTTTTGATATGGAAGATTCTAGATATTGAGTAGGCGTAGCTAGCTGATGCTATTGCTACTATCCATATCTTGATGAAATTCCAGATTTCTGTTTCCATTTGCAACGCTTTGACTAAAAATGTGGGAGTTTTTTGGTTTGACGAGTTTCGGATGCTTGTTTAAGTAATGAGGATAGGAGATGTTGAGGAACGAATTTAGGCTCCCTTGTTACTTTTAGGATAAAAAAAAATCTAAAATGGAAATTCCAAGATAAGTAAAACAGCACCATTTTCCAGCAGCAACGAATAGAAAATATTTAGCCAATAGAAGCATAGTGGGATGAGCTGTATTTATTAAATTCAAACTTGAATTTAAACACATTTACCAATAAATTTCCATTTGGTATTTGTTTCGGGGTTTTCTGATGTCCTGCGGGAGAGTTACAATTCCGAGACTGGAACCGGACGCCTGTACCTGCAAAACAAACGGATGCTCCGGATGATTGGAGATCCGCCTCCGACGGTCAAGTTAGTACTTGATTAAGGAGTAATTAATGCGGAAATTAAAGTGATTGAGTCTCTCTAAGTGAGAGTGTTTAATGTGTGTAATCTGCTTTTAAGCGTCATCTCCCTTAATGAGGATTAAGGGAGGTATTTATAACCTCGGGAAACGTGTCAATCTAGGTTTAGGTTAACCTTGGGCTGATTGGGCTTCCCTCGGAAGTTGGGCCTAGGTGACCGGTTATCCCAGGTGTCATGGGAAGGACACGTGTCGTGTCGTAATTGGTCCATAGTGGACGGATCATTGCTTGACACGTGGCAGGCTCCTATTGGCCCATGTGACGGACACATGGCGGAACCTGATTGGTCCACTTGTCAGATGGTGATTGGTGGGGAAAAATCCCCTAATCATTTGCCCCTCACAGGTGGCACGTGACTGGTCACGTGTTACCTGTGACAGGTATCGCCCTGTAACAGGCGACGGCCTGCTACAGGTGTCACTCGGCGAGAGGCCAAGAGATTCTCCCGCCAAAATTTTGAATTCTGGAAGTGACCCTTCGCCTTCTCACTTCGCCTATATAAAGGAGTGTTGACTTCGGTCATTTTCACACTTGAAAACTTTGTGAGAGAACATTCGGACCCCTGAACTTGCTCTGACATTTTGGACCCTTTCTGCCTACCGCCTGCTCTGACAAGCCGACTGCAAAGGATATTCAGAACTTCATCAATCGTCACTCGTTCAGGTAACCGTCGGTTCTCTTACTCTTAATTTTCTCTTTACTTTATTCTTTTTTGAAATGGCACCACGGAAACACACGACACGACCTAGGTTAGTGATCAGCCGGTCACCGGGGACGGCTGAATCTAGGACTAGGAGTGCCGCCTGCCCTTTTCTGGACCCATCTTTGCCCTTTATACAAAGTCCGACTGTATCTGTGTCTATGCAGAGCATGATGGCCAGAACAAAAAAGACCGCCAGGATCTCAAACTCAGACGGCTCCTCCCACAGGGTGCCGATTAGTGAAACATCTGACCAGGCGCCAGATGTGGAAGTGAAACAAAGCGGCTTGAAAGCCCGCAGTTCTGAGGGAGGAGTCAAAGTGACCCCTTCCCATTTTACAGTTGACAATTCTACATTCTCTCCTGCTCCTTTTAAAGGAGAGGAGGCGGGCCCCTCCGGGAGAGGGGAGGAGTCGTCCTCTTCGGACTCGTCAGAGGACGATTCCGAGTCTAGCTCTTCTGGCCATGCTTCCCTGGACACAGAAGAGAAAAACAGTCGCCTACAAGAGGCGAGGCTTTCTCACGCAGTTGAGAAGGGGGACGATTTGGCGGAGCCATCCGCCTCTCACCGAGAGCAAAATACCCCCTACTACTGCACGGTACCTCGGGGCCGGATCACGGCCATGCAAGAGAAAGTGGAGAGCTTTATCGCAAACCACACAATGGGCCCCGGATTTTTAGTGTTCGTGCCGGATCCAGAAGACACAGTCGTATGGCCGGCTGGTACCAGTTATGATGGCGCCTGCTTTGGCTGCTACGAGGCGGCCATCAAGGCTGGGCTGCGCTTCCCACTACATCCAGCTGTTCAGCGGATCTTGGATGGGTATGAGTTGGGGTTATGGCAGTTAGCCCCGAACTCCTGGGTCAACGTACTCGGCTATGTGGCCGGGTGCGAACTGCACGGGGTGGAGCCGAGCTTCGAGGCTTTCGCCCACATGAACTACCTCAGCCGGACCCCTAAGGCAGGCGGTACCGGCTGGTATCAATTGACGAGCCACAGGGGCTACCTCATGACGAGAGGTAAAGCAAACAAATGGAAGGACTGGCGGAGCACCTTCCTCATCATTGAGAGTTCAGACACAGAGCTGAACAAGCGCTTCAACAGGTGGAACAGGAATCCGCCCCTTCTTGCAGGCGGCCGCAGCATGCCGCCTGTTCCCCCCAAGGCTAAGAAAGAGATCCTAGATAAAGGACTCTTCAAAGTAGAGTCGAAGGTGAACTCTACTTCAGGGGTACGAGAGCAAGTACCCCTGCACTGCGTCCCGAGCTTCAAATGGCTCTACGACGAGTACTTTTTGGCCGCCTGTGGCCTCAGCAGTCGGTGCTCAAGAGGTAGCCGGCCTGTCGAATACTCTGTTGTTCCATGCATTTCTTGTTATGACTTTTATTAACTTTGCTATTTGTTTTTGCAGCGGACGCCATGAGCAAAATTACCGCCTCCAAGACTGCGGCGGCCATGTTGCGGGCCTCCATCATGCAACAGTCTTCAACCGACTCCCCAACAAGGGGGCACCCTTGGTGGGCTTCGAACCTTTCACCCTCTTTTTGGAGTTGTGTTTATGCTATACTGACTCTTTTCTTCTTTTTTAGACGGGCGCTCCAAGAGCTTCTTCTTCCCAACAGCCGGACCCCAAGGCCCGGAGGACGACTGTTGCGAGCTCTCCTGGTTCTGCCAGGAAACATGCGGCGGCTGAGAAACAGCCGGCCACTTCTTCTAAAACTCCAGCTGGGCCACCTAGAAGTATGAATTTGTTTTGTAAATTTTAGACTTTCTCCCTCCTTTACTAGGTCTAATCCGTTTGTTTATGCTTGATGCAGCCGGCCCTCAGGAGCCTGACTTGGTCGAGGTGGCCAAGTCTATGATCAAGGCCGTTTCTCCAGCTGAAAGGGAGGCGGTCAGGGGTGTCGGCACCCTTGACCTAGACGGGATTGCAGGGGTCCTGGCTGAGGTATACTTAGCATATTTTTGAGTATTTGAATTCCAGGACGCTTGTTTTCTTTTTGTTTGGAAACTGACGCATGTTCCCCTTTTTACTTAGGCCTTGCTCCGAGTGAACGGCCTTCGCAAGCCGCTTGACCGGAAGAACAAAGAGGTAAAGGCTGCAAAAGCTATGGCCGCCTCTGACTGTGATAAGGCAATGTTTCAAATTGCCCAAAATGAAGTTCTGACCATTGATATTCTTTATTATCAGGCGCAGGCTACCGCCGCTATCCGGGCTCAGTTAGAGGCGGCCCAGAAGAGGAATAGCGAGCTGGAGGCGACCATCAACAACCTCAAGGCCGAGCTGAGACCTCTTCGCCAAAAGATGTCCTCATACGAAACCTTGGAGAAATCCTTGGCGAGCGTAAAGGTATGCCTGGTGACCCAGGAGAAGAGTCTTACTCAGGAGCTCTCGGAAAAGGCCGAGCAAGAAAAGAAAGAGCTGGTCCGGGAGATGATGGAAGACTCTGCTCAAATCCAGCGCATGACTTGGGGCTGCCTCTTCCCCAATGCCGACTTTGCCTCATGGGAAAAAACGTACCGCCAGTGTTCTGATAGATATAATCAGGAGATCCTGGCGGCTGCTGAGGAAGAGGCGTTTGCGGCTGCTGAGGAAGAGGCGTTGGAGGAGGAGGAGCAACCGGTAGTGGCGCTTGTGCCGCTTGGGGGTAATGCATCAAAGAAGGATTTAGCTGAAGCCGAGTCCAGCAAGAAGAGTGCTGACCAGGCGGCAGCTGCTAATATTGAAGATCTGCCCCCTTCTTAAGCTTTATGTCTTCTTTCCACGGCCTGCGTGCCGTTTGTTTGTATTTACCCGGCCAGGGGGCCAGGGCTCTGAATATTTTGTCGGTCTTTAAAGACCGGCTTCTTTTTAATGAATTTTTTGTTTTGCTTCAAATTTGTTTAAGTATTGAATATTCTGATATCCAATTGTACACTATACCGACTGTTTTACATGGCCGATAGTTGCAGACAGGTACGGATAGTTAGTCACGCCGCCTATGCCCCTGGACGACTGGTTGTCTGTTTCCAGGCTAGACGATCAGTCGGCCATTTATCCAATCGGTATTCGAACCATTTTAAAGACTGGATCCCCTTTAGGCAGGCGGTTCCGTCATACAAAATTAACCAAGTAGGAAAGTGGTTTCCTACTTGTCATGTTTTTAGGCTAGAGACTTTAGGCCGTCTAGGCCGACTGTTCCCCGCCATATTTAATCTAGTGTGAGCCGGTGCTGTATGAACACCTTTTTAATTTCATACTAAATTTTTAAGGAGTGACCAAGTAAACATGATTGTTACCTAGTCGCCAAGTAACTGAGTAGTAGAGGTATCAAGCGGTGGGTACCGGTTGTTCCCCTTTATTTGCCAATGTTTGTTGGCTTTTAACTCATAGGTTGTTAACCTAGCAGGAGTAGTGGTTGAGAGCCCCTGTTTGCTAAAAACAGGCGGACGACTCATACCTTTTAGGCTCCATACTAAGTTTGAGAGAGTGACTATGAGTTAACTTTGGAGTTACTCAGTCGCCGTCACTCCTGCTTGAGTAGTAAAGGTACCAGGCGGCGGAGGCCGGCTGAACCTTTTGATTCGCCAATGTTTGTTGGCTATTAACTCAAGAGGTACCCCCTGCATTTATCCCAAGTAATACAGGCGGTCATCTAACTCAGATGTCAACTGCTACCACTGGTTTGGTTAGTGATAGAGTTATCCTTGTCTCAAAAACTGCTACGTGGTTGCCCTTGGGGACAGTCGTATAGGTGCCGTGTAATTAGTTTATAGAGCAATGTTCCACCCAAAAGGGAGCTGCTCTCTGCGACGAATTTCATCCGGAGGGATGCCGCCGGACGCCTGCTATGATGTTGGGACACGTCGTATTAGTTTTGAAGATTTGATCAGTTGGCTTGGCGCCTGGTCTGATCATTCGGCCTGTGGCCTTGGTTAGTTCTTGGTGAACGTAGGTGCTAAGTAAAAGGAGGGTAGCCGCCTGTTTAGGCACAGGGTCGGCCAGACCCTGATCATTTTTAGTTAAGTATAAGGGGGGT